CAGCTCCAACTACCTCCGCCCTGCGGTCTCCGCGCTTCCTCTGTTCACCGCCGCGCCGCCACTGCGCCTTTAGCCGACCAGTTAGGCACGTGCCTCCCTCCCCTCCCTCTGCCGTGAGGGGAGGGGGAGGGAAGCCCCCTGTGTGCGGGGCGGGTGGAGGGGGCATGCAGCCTGCAGGGGGTACTGCACTGTGCTGTACTTGCGCCCCTCGGCCCTTTCCCGCGCAGACGTGGTTTTAAGCCCGTCTGACGACGGCTCGGGCGGGCGATGTCCTGGCGGTGGGCTGCAAACAGGCGTCGGGGTGAAGGTGGGAGGAGGGCAACTCCTCCAGAACCAACCCTCTGCAAACGCGCCTTTCCCCCGGGGATGTTACGGCGAGTCCCATAGTGGTACATGCATACACCTGAATAGTAAGTTGCGGCCACCAGCCTGGTACAGGTGAACAGTTAGACGGGGACGCAGCTGAGGAGGTGGATAGTGATACTGATCTACTGTGTGCTTCATCTGTGGAGCCTTCCGGAGCGCAGCGCCGCTCACCGCCGTGGCTGATAGGCAGCCGATCTGACGCGGCACAGCCGATGTGGAGGTAGTTAATTATGTCATCATGGACCGTTTAAGAACGCCTCTTCTAGTCTCGAGTAGGGCTATAAACCGGGTTAAGCAGTGTAAAATTTATCTCAATTATGATGACTTCAAGAAAACTCAACGGCCCTAAAGCGATTGCCATACTTTATTGCAGCCGTAGGAGTGATTAAATACAGATTATTGAAATGAATTATGGGCATCATTATAGCATCCAAATGTGATAATTTTCACACCATGATTGCATCAAAATGTATGAAAGTTATCGCACTTCAGATTACAGTGAAGGCCCCTCCCCCACCCCTCGCATGGAACACTTCTTCGGATCGGGGGCCGCTGCACAGATCGTCAATGTTTCGGCTCTGTGACCAACTGTGGCAGTCAGATATTTGTTGCGGCCAAAAGGGCCTGGGAGCATTTGCTCTCCCACTACTAACTGTGCGAGGCGAGGGTGAGCAGGATACGTTTCCGCTGACTAAACCGTACCGTAGCGAAGTTTTGGCTAAAATTTTAACCATCCGCGAGTCGTGGTAGCAGGCGCTGGCACTACGGTGCGTTGCGCAACACTGCGCACGCGTACGCCTCGTCTCCTCGTCTTCCCTGTCGCATTGTCCGCGCGCCCGGCGCGGCGCAGCGCGGGAGGGGCGGTGGGTGCGGGGCGGGGCGTCGGGCGTCGTGACCGAGACGCACACCGCACGGCCGTGCGCTGGCGGGAAGCGATATGTGGCCTGGCAGGGAAACAAAGTCTCAAATCTACTCTCTCGTTTTGTTTTTGTGTTTGTTTGTTTTACCAACGGCACAGACTGACGTCCAATCAAGGTCGCGTGTGTTCCTTTTTCCTTTTCGATTGGTTTCGCAGCTTCTATTCCTGAATCGTCGTGCAGCGGAAAAACTACGACGAAAAACAACCCAAGTTGCCAAGAGTGTGATCATTCCACCCTTTAGCGAGTGGAGAGGACAAGCGAACAGAACAAAGCGCCCGAAAAGCGCATAGTTTGACAACCAAAAGATTGAGGGCCTGCGGACAGAGAGGGTCGGCGTAGACTCTCTAGAGCTGACAGGGGTGTTTTTTGGGGGGAGGGGGCAGTCGCCCTTAATACGCACCTGCCACCACTAGGGTGAGGGGGCGGGGGTGGTGTTCGGACCATCAAATCAGAGTGCGAAGGAATGGTGGGTGTTATGAGGGTCGATCGGCACGCGTCCACCACGTGCAGCCGGCCGCGGCGTCACGCCTCAGCGGCGGCTCGTGTAGGTTCGACCTTGCCCTTCAGAGAGGTGAGGAAGCCTCTTGGTGGTTTGTGGCGTCGGTGGTGGCGGTGGCGCGGCGGGGAGAGGGTGGTGAGGGGAGGAGGGTTGCAGTGCATCAGCTGGACCCGCGCCCCTGCGCCCCCCTCAGCTCCTCATCGGCCACGCGGGCCCCCGCGGTGGAAGGCAGAGAAACGAGCAAAGCGAGCAAAGCGGTCGGTAGCGCCGGCAGCCCGCCCGCCCGCCCGCCGCCGGGTCCAGAGGAGTCCACAGCCGCGGGGGCCCGCAGTCCGAGTCCCTCGCGCCCACAGTCGGTGGCCCGGCCCGGACGAGCGTCCTCCTCGATCGCGCACTTCCCCGCCGCGCAGACCGCACACGCGCGTGCGTTTAGATTCCCTCTGCCACCCGCCGCGCGTGCGTGCGCATACTCGGATCTTCCGGTGATTTTTTGTTCTGCCGCTAACTCAGACTTGGAAAGCCATTTAACTTTACTTCCTAACTAATCAAACATTTTGCCACTAAAATCTTGCTGTTGAAATAACTTTTACATTTGCCCTCCGCGGGCCTTCAATTTTGTATGTTTTTGAAACAGTCGGATTACATAAGTCGTCGACATGACCAAATAACCACCGAGTAAAACATTTCAGTTGCACGCTCACATCGCGCGGCGGGACGCGTGAGTCGATACTCCCCCGCGCCTCCCTGCACGCCGTGCCCGTGCCGTGCCCGTGCCGCGCGCGCCCCCTGCCGGTCCACCGACGCACCGTCCCCGCCGCGGCCCAGCCGAGCCCGGCCGAGCAATGAGCGAGTTCGCTTTCGTGTCCGTCTCCCGGTCGCTGTCGCTGGTCGAGCTGAACGGTGGTGCGTCTTCTCGTTTGTTGTGCTTGAACGACCAATAACAAACAACAATAACCTCTCGTCGTGCGATTCTGATTCTGTGTGGTCGCTGAATGCTCTCGCCTTTCGGCTTTCGGCTGGCTCTGCTTCTGCTGAGCATCCGGAGTGCGCCTTCTGACCGCGTGCCTGTGTGTCTGTGTGTTGGATATAACCTAACCTGCTCTTAGTGCCTCGTTTTTAACAAACTATAGCTTTTCACCCCTGTCGATGGTGGAGGCCGGGTTGTGTTGTGGGAATGTTGTTGGAGTGCATGAGGGAGGAGGGGGACGCGGTCACCATCCCTGTCGCGTCAAGGGGGCGGGGCGGAGACAGTCGTTACAGGTGTCAGTCCTGAAGCACATCTCCGTCCGCGCGGGGCAAAGGCAGTCGTGGGAGTCCCTCCCAAACAAATGTGAAAACCACACTAAAACAGCATTAGTCAAGGAATTGGTGTGCCGGAGTGCCGGAGCAAAACTTTGGCCATGACACAGTTCCGGGATTACTACCACGAGTGCTACCGGCGCTACCGAGGCGTGTGCCTCCCATGTCGGGCCTCGCCCATGTACTGCGGGAGCTGCGGCATGGTGAGAAGGATCATAATGTTTTTGTTGTCATAAAAAAGTTTTGATCGAAATTTGGTTTTGTCGTGGGGCGGATGGGATATAACTGAATTATATTGTTAAAAACAACTGAGGTGCCAAAAAGTATTTTTCTAAAATAAGTTTCAATTGATTTTCAAGTCCGATTTATCAACAGTTTACGTAACTGATGTGCTACCTCCGTTATTTATGGCGTTATCTACCTATATACGTAACATTTTAGAACGCATAAACTTGACGACGCCAATGTCACTGTTTTCCAAACGTATATTATACACACGCGACCTTGTGCATATTTCATTTCCTCGGTGGTTTTTGTTTGGCGTTGTGTGGTACACGGTGTCGGGCGTGGCTCTGAACTGAATGCAGGATCACCCGGTTGCCCAACAGCCCAACGCGCCGCGCGGATCTGAGCTGACGGGACGAACTGACGAGCCCCGCGGCCGCGGCCCTCGGCCCGCGCCGCATCACATGCACACGAGCGAATAAAACTGCTAACCGCAAAATGATCTGGTAAGACCCATTCGGTTTGTTTGCAGATAATGGGAAGTTTTACGCCCTGTCTAGAGCTTACCTTTTTTCGAGGGAAGGGGGGGGGGGTTGATCAGGTGAATATTTTTAGACTATAACAAGAAATTCAATGAAAGCAGTTCTTGTTTAGATATGAGGAATTAATTCACTCTACTTTTTCGTAGTTTTAGTCGTATGCAAGAAACCCCTCTCCACACCTCCCCAATTTCTATATTTATTGATGCCATAGCAGCTGCCTATTTCCGTCATCTAGATGGCAGACAGGAGTGCTTGATTTCCCGACCCCCCCCCCCTTCCCGTCCAGCCCCCATCTTCTCTGCTCTTTGGGACATTGCATTAATCTTTTATTTGGTCTGCTGCCTTGATGGAAAACAAACACGGCGATCTGTTGCCGCGCGCGGCGATGGTGGCGCATATCGTGGCACCTATTGGTCAGATCGAGGCTCTCGCATCAAACCAGTACCGGCCGCTAAGAGAATGAGAAGTTGTGGGAAAAGGCTTAGGCGACGAGTGCTTCCTACACACTCCAAAATAACAATCAGAAACTTTGCTTATACTTCGTGTTTGCATTTGAGCCCTAGCTATGTCGTAATAGCGATTATCATCGTTCTGCTCTATTGGCGTAAGCGACTAATGATTTGCCAACGGCGCGCCCAATAATTAATTGCGAATTGTGATCGTTCTCGCGAACATGGCCAATCTCCATACGCCGCCCGCCCCGGCCCGTCGCGCGACGCATGCACCTCCCCAAGCGCGGTGGCGGCGCTGCGGTGGATGAAAGTGGCCGCGCCGCTGGCGGCAGGGCGTGGCGGCGCGCGGCGGCGAGCGAAACGCCTGGCAGGGAGGCAGCGCTCTGGCGCTCGTGCGGCGCGGCGGCCTACCTGCCGGGCGCTCGCGGCCGCACAGCGTCCCTTCCCTGCTCTCCCCATCTCTTTCGCA